CACTTTTTAAAAAAGACTTATTTTTTTAGCGCTGTTTTAGGCTCACAGCAAATATGACAGGAAGGGACAGATTTCCCATATACCCCCTGCCCCAACACATGCATACCCTCCTCAGTGTCAACATCCCTTACCAGAGTGGTACGTTTGTTGCAAGATGAACCTACATTGCCTGTTCGCATAGACTTTTAAAAATAATTTATATTTCTAGCCCTGGCTGGTGTGGCTCAGTGGACTGAGCGCTGGCCTGTGAACCTAAGTGTTGCCAGTCGGATTCCCAGTGTTGGGCACAGGCCTGGGTTGCAGGCCGGGTCCCCAGCAGGGGGCGCATGAAATGCAACCACACACTGACGTTTCTCTCTCTCTCCTTTCCCCTCTCTAAAAATAAAGAAAATCTATTAAAAAAATTATATTTCTATACTGAGAGTTTCTTAATTCATTGTCATTACACTTTAATTCTTTAAACATATTTCTGAGAGTTGTTCTGAAGTGTCTTTTCCCCCCTTAAATTCAGCATCTGGCTCCACTCAAAGTTATTTTCTATTAGCTGTCTTTGGGGTATTTCCAGGGACCTGAAGTGGTTGCTCTTGGCCATATCCCCCAGTTTTGCTCTTTGCAGAGAGGAACCGACTGCCTCTTTGCGTTGCCACACGGGACGTCCCCCTTCTCCTGCTTCACTGATGCCGAGAGGGAGGCTCGGGGAGGTGCAGCCACTGCCCTGGCGCACGGCTGGGAAGCAGCGGGGGGGGGGGGGGGGGTCCCAATTACACTCATGGGCTCTCCATTTTTTTTAAGTTTTATTGAAAAATAATTGACATACAATAAATTATGCACATTTAAACCATACAATTTGATAAGTTTCAACATATACATATGCCTGTGAAACCATCTCCACCAGCAAGATAAAAAAGATATCGGTCATTTTGTCCCTTTTTGTAATTCCCTCCTGCCCTTCCCCCCTCTTTAGGCAACCACGGGTCTGATTTCTGTCCCTAGAGTTTGCATTTCCTAGAATTTTATATAAATGAAATAATACCAAGTACCTACATACCAAGAATGTACTCTTTTTGTTCGCCTCTTTCACGCAGTGTCATGGAAATTCATCAAACACTGCAGTATATATCAGTAGATGGGCCAGTATTCCGTTGCATAGATACGTAGAAGTTTGAGTATCTAGGTATCAGTTAGTGGCCACTTGTGTTGTTTCTAGATTTAGGTTATTGCAAACAACCTGCTGTGAACATTTGTGCACGTATCTTCGTGTGGACATAGGCTTTCATTTCTCTTGGGTTATACCTCAGAGTGGGATGGCTAGAGCATTCGGAGAGTGTAGGTTTCACATTTTAAATACATTTTTAACTTACAGATAGTGTTACAGAACCAGCCAATAGCGTTCCAGAGCAGCAGCGGGGTTCGCTCGCTTGCCTCCGAGGGGCACGACTCCAGAGACGAGAGTTTGGTGAAGACGGAAGTGGGTTGTTTATTTAAAGGCTATTCAGTGTTAGAATAACGGCAGATTTCTGCTGTTCAGTCCCGCGCCCTTTAAAACACCCAAAAATGAATAGCTCCGCCGCCCGCTGCCAAGCCAGACGAGTTTCAGAATGAGCTGCCTGAAAGCACCGTCCTTTGAGAGCGCGGCGGCCCGCGGCTCCGCCGTGCCAGGCACCGGCCTGCGCCGAGCTGCGCTCCGCAGTCTGCGCCCCTGCCTGCGCCCTCTTCGCAGCGCCCGGTCCTCTGCTCCGGGGCGGCTCTCCCTCCAGCCGGCAGCCCCCCGCCCGCCGCTGCGCTCGCCGGCCACGGCGCCCGCAGCGCCGCCCGCCCAGCTGCTGTCCTCTGCGTGGGAGGCGCGCGGAGGCCGTTTCCAAACCACGTGGCCTTCGGGGGCCCGCCGAGCCTCGGGACCCCGGGTTCCCTGCGGCTGCTGGGCTACAGACCTGCTTCCCTCCCGGCTGCAGCTCTAGGCGTGGCTCAGAAATCCCTGCCCGACTCCACATCCGGCTCTCCCTGCAGTGCCAGTGTCTGTCATTTTTGTCAGCTCCCCAGTGCCGCTGACCCTCTCTTTGGTGCCTTTTTCAGTGAGGGCAGAATTTTCCCGCCGCACCCAGGTGCACAGGCATCTGTTTCCCCCGCCTGGGGCCACCGGCCCCTGCAGCTCACGCGGCCACCGGGCGCGCCACAGGGGTTCGCCCGCCGGCTGGTCCGTTCTCACAGTCCCGCTGCCTTTGTGTACAGTTTGCCCCTGGCCGCAGCCCCCCGCCGCAGCGCCACCCTTGGGAAGGCACAGGCTGCCCGGTTGCTATTTCATTCATTCCTTTATTTATTGTATTTATTTTCAGAGAAAAGGGAAGTGAGGGAGAAAGAAAGTGAGAGAAACATCGATGTGTGGTTGCCCCTCCCACGCCCCCAACCGGGGACCCGGCCGGCAACCCTGGCGTGCGATCCCGGACAGGGACTCGAACTGGCGGCCCTTTGCTTCGCAGGCTGGGGCTCCGTCCACGGAGCCGGGCCCGCCAAGGCTGGCCGCTGTTTCAGTCTGCCGCCGCGGGGTCCCTCGCTTTTCCAGAGACCTCTGTCTGACCTGCGCCGTTACAACAGCGCGGGGTTCTGAGGTCCTGCCGCCCGTTTCCTCCTGCTGCTGGCATCGCGTCTTGCTACCGTACATCTGTGAAAGCGAAGGAACTGACGCTGGTACATTACTATTAGTTGGACTCCAGACTTAAAAATGTAAGTTTTGCCAGTTTTTCCACTAATGTCATCTTTCAGGTCCAGGATCCAGTCAGACCGGGGTACTACATGCATTTAGTTGTCATATATCCCCAGTCTCCTCTGGTCTGTGGCAGTTTATAAGTTGTTCCTATTTTTTAAAAGGATTTTATTTTACGTATTTTTATAGAGAGGGGAAGCGGGGGGAAGAGAGGGAGAGAAACATCATGTGTGAGAGAAACATCGATTGGTCGCCTCTCACACGCCCCCAACTGGGGACCTGGCCTGCAACCCAGGCCTGTGCCCTCACTGGGAACCGAACCACAGCGACCTCTTGGTTTGCAGGACGATGCCCAAGTCACTGACCCACACCAGTTGGACCCTAAAGTTGTTTCTTTTTTTCCATCAGCTTGGCAGTCTGGAGAAACACTGGCCAGGTAGCCTGTGGAGTGTGATAGCATGTCCTCCCATCTGGGTTTCCGATGCTTTTTTGTCATAACTCAACTGGTTACAGGTACCAGGAAAGAATGCTGCTGAGGTGAAGCGCCCTTCCCATCCCATTTTATCAGGGGAACCTGACGCGCACGCGACGTCTCCGGTGATGCCGCCGCCACCCGCTTAGGGCGGTGCTCACCAGTTTTCTCCGTGCAGTTGGTTTCCCCGCTGTCCCACACTTCACTAGTCTCGCCCACCTCACAGGGGCAGGGAGATTTGGTTCAACCTCTTGTGTGGGGCCGGAGTGTCTACATATGTTACTTGGAATTCTGCAAGGAACACTTGTGAATTGCTCATTTCTTTAGTCATTTATTTACATCAGTATAGGTTTGTGTACATTTATTTTTTACTTGGGTTATAATCCAATACTGCATTATTCATTCTGTTCCTCAGGCTGTCCCAGATGTGGCCTCTGCGGGTTCCTTTCGGTTGGTTCCTGTGTCCTCTGGACGCGCCGCTCTCCGCGCGCTCTTTTGAACGCTTCCTTAACTTCCAGGAGGGCGAGGTGCCTCAGGCTCATCTTACGGTCCCCTGCTCAGCCCTAGAACCAGTTATTTCCCCAGGGAGCTCTGCTTCGTCTTCTTGGTGAGTGGTATTTAGAAACCAAGATCTGGGATCCAGGTGCGTGCATTGTTAGCTGTGGTGTCATTACCTACATTAATATACATACTAAGCTAAACATGCATTCACACGTATCTCTCACAAGGATCATTCTAGCCCCCCCCCCCCACCGACTTATCCCTAACTTCCCTTGCCCAACAGAGAGAGCCCTGGCTCTGGCGACGCCAGCCACTTGCCAATCCAGTGAACCCCTCTGCATGTGTTCAGCGATTCCAGAACTGCTAACCACCCCCGCCCTTCGGGAACACAGTGTTCCTATAGAGTTCCTTTTGTGTTTAGCTGTATAGTTACCGCTCAAAACAAGTTTTCCGAAGGTACTTAGGTCAGCTTCTTCCATCCAGGGGTCGGCTTTTTTAACAGATGAGTCTTGAAACAACTGCAGAGGATATATCATTTCCATTTGAAGACCAAAGCGACTGTGATGTAGCTATGGGAATTACCAGCATGCAGCAAAAAGGAAACAGGAAAAAATTCTCACCCTTTCTTCTCCCTTTTTCTGTTAAAGGCAACAGCGCACGCCTCCCGAGCGACACAGTGGGCGCAGCGCTTGCTGACACAGGCCACGGCCTTATCCCACACTCTCTCTGCTTAAAGGAGAGCGGGCGTCTTCACGGAACAGGAGATTATATTGGGAAGGGGGGAGACCTATCCCTGGACTTGGCGCCTGCCCCCATCCGCCATGCCTTCAGCACCTTCACATTCTTCAGCTCTTTGACATTCTCTGTTTCCAGACCCTCCTTCCAGGGCCTCCCCACGGCAAAGGGGAGGTAGGAACTGAGAAGTCAGCACGACTCCGTCGTCCCAGGTTGGAGGACGGGCCCGGCTGTCGCAGGCCTCGTGGGCTGCGGGCGGTGTTGGGGTGCTGGGCGCAGAGGGGTCCGAGCACTGGTTGGTGGACCAGGCAGAGCGGGGTGGTGCGGGGTGGTGCGGGCTGGCGCTCGCGGCCAGCAGGACGCGCCTGCGCAGTGGGGCGGTGGGCGGAAGGCGGCGGTAGCAACGTGGCTAGTGGGAGGCACAGGCGCAGTGGGGCGGTGGGGGCGACGAGCCCTGGGAGCACGTGGCCTGCAGGAGGCGCAGGCGCAGTGGGGCGGTGGGTGGTGGGCAGTGGGCAGTGGGCGCACGTGGCGGCCGGGCGCGCGGCCGTTGGGCGTGGCGGGCCTGTGGTCGTCTGCGGGCAGGGCGGCATGGGGCGGTTACGCTGGCAGGCGGTGGCGGTGGCGGCCTTGGGCCTCGCGGTCGCCCTGGAGGCGCTGCCCTCGGCCTTGCGCTGGTGGCGGGCCGGGCGGCGGCGGAGGCCACGGCACGAGGTTCTCTTCTTCCCGTCGCAGGTGACCTGCACAGAGGCGCTGCTGCGGGCGGCGGGCGCGGGGTCGGCGGCGCCCCCCGCGGGCTGCCGGTGCGGCCTGCCCCACGGCGAGAGCTCGCTGAGCCGCCTGCTGCGCGCCCTGCTGGCCGCCCGCGTGAGCCTGGAGCTTTGCCTCTTCGCCTTCTCCAGCCCGCAGCTGGGCCGGGCGGTGCAGCTGCTGCACCAGCGCGGGGTGCGCGTCCGCGTCATCACCGACTGCGACTACATGGCGCTCAAAGGCTCGCAGATCGGCCTGCTCCGCAAGGCAGGTAGGCTGGTTGCCCAGGCTTGGGGCGCGGGCCGGGAGGAACACCTGATACCCGGGACCCTAGGCAGAAGGGAGAATGTCAGAAGCAGATACTTGGGGGCAGGAGTTTGAGTACAGGTGAGGTTCCATTTATTTGCCATGGTGGCTTTGTGAGGTCAGGGCAGTTTTATCCCGGAGACACTCCGGGGCCGGGAGTCCCGGAAGAGCTCCTGTCGCCACGCGGCGGGTGTGGTTTCGCGCAGATGGCTGTCCGGCCGGGTGTGTGAGTGTGAGCCGGCGGCGTGTCCCCAGCTAATGGAGGAAGGTCTGGGGATCCCCGGGGGCGAGGGTGTGGCCACGCACACGCGGGAAGCCAGAGAGCCTCTGGGAGTCCCCGCATTCCCATGACCCACGTTGGCCTGGGGGCCGACTCGGCCGGGGTCGCCTGTGTCTGGGCAGAGCTGGAGGCGTAGCCCGGGCGGCTCTTTGACAGTTGCCGCTGGAAGGGAGGGTGGCTTCGCCCGGCAGTGCCGAGGAGCTGAGGGGAGGCTAAGAGTGAAGCCACGACCCCCCCGCCCCACAGCAGGCGCCCGTGGCTGCTCGCTGGAGCGGGCGCGCGTGGACTGCAACGGTCGGCCTCAGGACGGAAGAGCCGAAGGCGAAAAGGGCATCTCACCTTAAATACACGGGGGAGTTTCAGGCTTGGGGGCTTCTGAGGTGAATACAAGTAATATTCTAGAAAGTGTAGTTACAGTATTCGGTGGGTGAGTAGTTTGCTTCCGCCGCTGCGGAGCCCCTGGGAAGGCCGGCCTTTGCCCGGCCGGCCTCTCCGCCTGGGACGCGGGACCGGCCCGATCCCGGCCTCACCTGTGAGCCCCGCGTCCCCCGTCCCCCGCGGGGTAACGCGCTGGCCGCGGGCGTGCGCTGCTCTGTGCGCCTCGTCCGTTGGCTGCATGGAGCCCGAGCTCCGTGTCTTGAGGCCACTCAGGAAAGTCGCTCTGCGTGGCATCCTTGCTGCCCTTCGGTCCCGCAGCCGCGTGACGGAAAGGCGCGGGGAGCCCGCGAGAGCTGTGCGGGCGCGCGGCCGCGGTGCGCGCGGGGCTCGGAGTCGCGCGGCACGGCCTCCGCCGACCCGGAGGCGGGGAGCCTCTCCCGCGTCGGGCTCAGCCTCCGCGCCCGCGCGCCCCGGGGGCTCTCCGGTGGCCGCTGCGCTGCCCGCCACCCCCCCGCCCGCGGTGCGCGTGCGGGCGGAGTCGGACGCTGAGTCCCCAAGCGCGGGCGTGCCCTTCCACGCCTCCTGACAGTCAGGAGCTGTCCCAACTCTGTGGGTCCTTTTAGTGGGAGACTTAGGCATGGCCCCTTTTATTTAAGTAGCTTCTCAAGAATTGCAAAATCTCAGGTCTGGAAAGAGCCTTAAAGGGCGCTGCAACCAGCTCCGTCCGAGGCCGATTCCTCTGAAGGCGCTGCCGCCGGCGTTAACCCTCGGCCTCCGCCACGAACAGCCTGCAGGCCGGCGTCCGCCTGGCTCGGTCCCAGTGCCGGGGGCGCGGAGGTGAACCGGCGCGGGGCCTGCGGGGGAGTCTGACTGGGCTGGAGCCCTTAGGGCGGTCAGGAGGTCAGGACCGCCGAGGGCGCAGGGTGGGGGGCGGCCCGCCCGGAGCGCAGCGGCGCTGGACGCCCTCAGAGGCCTCCCAGCTTGCGGACCAGGGGGTGCAACTGCTGGCGTCGCAGCAAGAGATCCCCTGGGGCCAAGGTGGCAGCAGGAACGAGGACCGGAGTGCGCCGGCTGCCGCTCAGCCGGGCTCCTTCCCCCTCGGGACCAGGTCCTCTTCTTCCACGGTGGGGTGCAGCTCCCGGCCTGGGCTGTTTGCGGGGGTGTCCAGTCCACCGCGAAAGTGAGAGGCCAGAGGCAAGGCATCTCCGGCCAGTGATGTTTGCCCGGCCGGCCTCTGGCCGGAGGAATGAAGGTGCTGCCGGCCGGTGCAGCCTCCAGAGGTGTGGGGTGGGCTGTTCCCAGAGGAAAGTGGGTGCTGCTGGAGGGCAGCGTCTGCCCGCCTGCCGTGGTCCCTGCCGCGCTCGGGAGCGGCCGCGTCCCCGCCCGTGCCAGCTTGCCCCTCAGGATCCCCTCCTGTGAGCTGCTGGTGCCTGGTCACTCTCTGGCTCAGCCACTACCCTCTGCCCAGGTGAAAGCTTCACCCCTTTCCCACCAACCTGGGGACAAATAGCAAAGTTAGTAGCTGCTAGCAAACAGCCCCCAGGTGAGGAGCTGGGCCCGCGGGGGAGGGGCGTCGCAGAGGTCCGAGGGAAAGCCGCCCCGCCCTTTCGCAGGCATCCAGGTGCGGCACGATCAGGACCTGGGCTACATGCACCACAAGTTCGCCATCGTGGACAAGAAGGTGCTGATCACCGGCTCCCTCAACTGGACCACACAGGCCATTCAGAACAACAGAGAAAATGTTTTGATTATGGAGGATGAAGACTATGTAAGGCTTTTTCTGGAAGAATTTGAGCATATTTGGGAAGAGTTTAACCCTACAAAGTACACTTTCTTCCCACAAAAGAAGGGAAGTCACTGAAGCTGTGCTCTCATGTCTGCCTGCAGTTGGGGGGGGGGGGGCGGGTTCAGTGCCACAGGGCTCTCGGGGCCCCCGGCTGGAACCAGAGCAGACCCACAGGGGGTGGCCCCAAGACCGGCCAGTGTCCACCCTGGAGCCGCTGTGCCTTACGGTGTCACACTCTGTATTCTGCTTGAGAGAAACCTCGGCATCATAAAGACACTTATTCACACTGAATCCTCATTCATTAAAGTACTAAAGTGAACTAAAGAGTGTTTAATGTTAAAAAGAAAAGGGAAATTCCTCCAACACTGGGTCAGTGGTCCTGGACTGAACTTTGGTTGTTCCTTCCACCCAAAGTAAGTGCAGCTGAAGCTTCTTACAAGCGCACTCGGGGCGCTGCGCCTGGCGCCCGGGCTGAGAACGGAAGGCGCTCTCCCCGCAGCCGCACAGAAACGCTGTGAGGCCTGCTTCAGGGCTGAACCCCGCCTGGCCCCCTTTCCTGATTCTAGAGGATCTGCCCCTGCTCTGGCTGACGCCGTCAGCTCAGCCCTTAGGGTGTCTCTGGAATGTCCCCTCTCTTCTCCCGTTGGACTCGCCTGGTCCCCACCCAGCACAGCTGAACCCCGGGCTTGGCTTGAGGTGGACAGTCTTTCCATCCCTCTGTCACCAGCTCCTTGGTGGCTCATTGGCTGGTGTGAGTCGGAAGAGGGAAAGGAGAGGTTAGGAAGGAAAACAGGTGGCAGAGGCGAGTGCATGCTGGGCTCGGCGGGAGCTGCCCCCCAGGCCTCTCGTGAGCCCCGGCCGCCGCCGCCGCCGCCGTGCCGCTCTCTCCCAGCCCCTGGGCCTGACCACTCCTTACACACGTCCACGAGGCAGTGCTCGTCCTCGGCGGCTTCCGTGCTCATTCAGAGGCCCGGACGTCGTCTGTCAGGAAGGCCCGAACCTGCTGCTTTTTCTGTGTGCTGTGCTTTTAATTTTTGACACTCACACATGCAAGGAAGTTTTGTTGTGTGTTTAGAAGTGGCCTTCGCTTTAATAACTGTGGACTTCGCTAAAGTGCACCTGTTGGTCAGTGCCATCGGCCACAAGCCACCTGAGGAGGAGAGCCCAGTGTCCGGGTGCGGCACCTCACAGGCCTCTTTTCATCCTCAGCGCCATGGTTTACATCTGTAGGTAATTAGGGGAGTGGTGCCTGACGCACGTTTGTGGAATATTCCAGACTGTCTTTTAGGAACAGGTACCTTTAGGCAGCTCAGATAACATCAACATCGAACGAGTGTTTCACCATGTTGTCGTGTTTCCGTGTGTGCGCCGTGCGGCTCCTTCACTGGGAGAGGCTGGTCGATGCTGCCTGTTTTTCCCTTTTTAAAGTCACCTTTGACTTAGGGTGTTAAGCAAGTAAGTTCAAAGTTAACTCTTCCTATTTCACAGGAAATGGTTTCACATTAACATGTTTTGTCTGTTTGTTCGAATCGGAGTCTGCTCCCGCAGGTGTGCTCTGAGAAAGGGGGGTGCCGTCAACTGTCTCCAAGCGATGGCGCCGTGCGGCCTGGACGCCCCCCCCCATCTGAATAAATGTGTTCTTATTCTGGAACGGTGCTACAGTGTGTCTTTGCCTTTTACTCTTTCAAGTCGTGCCTGCTCTTTATTAAACAAGTAAAACTTTTGCGGGCAGGAGGCAACATGCAGCTGCTTAGAAACTGTTGGTGAACAAAGGAGTCTCTCAGAAGGGAGTGAGACCTGAAGGTGTTGCTTGGGGGTGTCCCAAACTGCTTCCAAGACACGCACGCCGCTTCCGGCACAGTTTGTAGCCTCTGCGCGTCTGGCGACGGCGGGCACACGTGCAGCCTGCGCCCCCGACGCCAGGGTCTCCCCGGTGACCGCACCTCCTCTTCCAGGAGTAGGCTGCCTGCCAGGCCAGGCGCAGCATATGCAAGGCTGATGTTTTAAGAATTGTGAAATGATGTCGTTTCATTTTTAATTTGACTTCATACTCCGTATCTTATTTTCATCATCTCTGCAGTGGACAGAGTTTTAGATAATAGTTGACCTTTCTGAAAAGAACCTGCAGTGAAAGAAAACCTCAGAAGGCACAGGGCTGTGGAAGGACAGGACTAAAATCTGCCTCCAAACAGGAGGCTGCTTTGTGTCCATTTAGATGAGGTATTTGCACAACACGACTGGAACCGCTGACCTGCGGACTGGCTGCATCCTGCTCAGACAGGAGAGGTGTGACGAGGGGTAGCCAGACTGGGGCCGGGGCCGGGGCCGGGGCCGGGGCCGGGGCCGGGGCCGGGACCAGGACCAGGACCGGGATGAGGAGCTGACTCTGGCTTGTCTGGCCTGCCCACTGAGCTGCTGGAGTTCACCTCAGGTTTCAGGGGCTATAAAACAAATGAACTTAGGTAGTGGATCTTTAGTTGATCTTGGAGATACTTTGGGCCTAGTAAGTGGCTTTGCACTGAGCAGCAGTTATTTGGGGGCTAGTCCAGCCCTGGGCAGTCACACCGAGGAGACCCTGGGCTGGTGGCGGGTCCCCCTCGACCTCCCGTGGGCACCACTGCGCACAGTGGAGCCAGGCTGGGTGGGGCTGCGGAGTGTGTCTTCCGAAGCTGCTCTCTGCCTACAAGGTTCTGTCACGGCTGTCCCTAGGGAAATTTTTTATTTTATTTTTAATTGTATTTTGTTGTTTATGCTATTACATTTGACCCCTTAGAGAAACTTTAAAAGAAGTAGTAATTTCCCCCTAGGAAGTTTGGTGGTTACTTCATGGGAGGAGTCGAGGGCACCTCCCCCAGTAAGGAGGTTTCAACTCAGGGTTGTCATTTAAACTGTGGGGCAGTGATAGAGCTAAGCAACAGACCCGGTATGCAAAGTGAATCACCTTGGCACAATTAAGTTTAAAATATTTTAAACTCTTGCAACCCTTGTGATTAAAAAAAACATTGTCATGGTCGTAGTACACAGCCTTCACAGTCTGCCAATAACTGTCACACCAAAATATGGTACTTGCGTTTGAAGGAACAAACGCAAGTACCATATTTTGCTGGGTATAATGCGCACCCACATTTTTGTGCGCATTATACACGGGATTGTTATACCCATTATTATACTCATGGTATGTACTCCTTCTACTCATGTATAATGTGCATCCTTATTTTTCCCTAAACAATCTGGGCAAAAAAGTGCACATTATACATGGCAAAATATGGTACAGTGTATTTTATTTTTAAATATATTTTTTCTATTACCATTTAGTCCCCTTTTACCCCCTCCCCACTGTTGTCCAAATCCGAGGGTCCTCTTTCATTTTTGCTCAATCCCTCTGTCCCCTAACTCACCCTCCCCTCTAGCTGTCAGCCTGCTCTCCGTTTATGAGCCTGTTCCCATTTTCCTTGTTAGTTCAATTTGTTCATTAGATTCCACATATAATTGAGATCATATGATATTTGTCTTTCTCTGACTGGCTTATTCCACTTAGCATAATGTTGTCCAGGTCCATCCATACTGTTGCAAAGTAAAATTTTTTTCTGTTTTTACAGCTGAGTAGAATTCCATTGTGTACCTGTCCCATAGCTGTTTTATCCACTCATCTGTGGATGGGGACATGGGCCGCGTCCATATCTTGGTGACTGTAAATAACACTGCTGTGAGTGTAGGGGTGTTTGTGTTCTTTTAAGGTAGTGTTTTGGTTTCCTTCAGATATATTCCCAGAGGTGGGATTGCTGGGTCAAAAGGCAGATCCATTTTTAATTTTGGGGGGTATCTCCATACTGCTTTCCACAGTGGCTGCAACAGTCTGTGTTCCCACCAACAGTGCAAAATCATTCCCCTTTCTATACATCCTTGCCAGCACTTGTTTTTTGATTTATTGATAGTCATTCTTAGAGGTGTGAGATGATAGCTCATTGTGGTTTTCAATTGCATTTCTCAGATTAGTGATGTTGAGCATCTTTTCATATGTCTATAGGCCGTCTGTGTGTCCTTTTTGGAGAAGTGTCTATTCAGGTCCTTTGCCCATTTTTTAATTGGGTTGGGTTTTTTTTTTTTGGTGTTGTTTTGTAATTACTTAATACATTTTGGATATTAACCCCTTATCAGATGCATTGGCGAATATGTTCTCCCATTCTGTGGGTTGTCTTTTATTTTGTTGATGATTTTCTTTGCTGTGCAAAAACTTTTTAGTTTGATGAAGTCCTTTTCATTTTTTTCTTTTGTTTCCCTTGCCTGGGGAGATAGAGCTGATAAAAAATTTCTATGAGCAGTGCCTGAGATTTTGCTGCCTATGCTTTCTTGAGAACTTTTATGTTTCAGGTCTAACATTTAAGTCTTTGATCCATTTTGAATTTATTCTTGGGTGTGGTGTAAGAAGGTGGGTCTAGTTTCATTTTTCTGCATGTATCTGTCCAATTTTCCCAATACCAATTTTCAAATAAACTTTAGAAAATTTTTGAATTGTATGTGCTTGCTTCCTCTGTCGAATATTCATTGACTATAAAGGTGTGGGTTTATTACTGGGCTCTCTATTCTGTTCCATTGATCTGTGTGTCTGTTTTTATGCCAGTACCAGGCTGTCTTGATTACTATGGCCTTGTAGTATAGCTTGATATTAGATAGTGATTCCTCCAACTTTGTTCTTTTTCAGGATCGCGGTTGCTGTGTGGGGTCTTTTGTGGTTCCATGTAACTTTTTGAAATGTTTTAGGTCAGTGAAATACGTGATTGGAATCTTGATAGGAATTGCATTGAATATATAGACTACTTTGGGTATTTCGGACGTTTTAATGATGATAATTCGTCCTATCTGTGAACATGCTTCCTATCTGCTTCCACTTACTTGTATCCTCTTCCATTTCTTTCTTCAGTGTCTTATAATTTTCCAAATACAGGTCTTTTTATATCTTTTAATTCCTAGGTATTTTATTCTTTTTGAAGCAATTGTGAATGGGATTTTCTTAATTTCCCTTTGTTAGTTCTTTATTGGTGTATAAAAATGCGACTGATTTCTGGATATTAATT